CAGGATGGCTGGTCGGACAACACTGACTGATGCCAACAGACCTGGTGTGTTAGGTAGGCATCTGCTGCTATAGTGCTGAGTAACACACAGCCCCAAACCTCAGTGGCTCACGACAACAAGCATTCTTTCTTATTCTTGCATCTGCGAGTCAGCGGGGGTCCTGCCAGGCTTGCTTGGGACTGACTAACAGGCGTGCCTCCTGGCAGGGTTCAGGTCTCTTGTTCTGGAACCAGCGGTTACTTGCAGACATGCCGTTCTCATGATGGAGGGCAGAGGCTCCGAGGGGCAGAGGAAACTGCATGAGAACCTCTGCGTGTCTGCTTTGACCTGGAAAACATCACATCCTTTCCTGCTGGGCAAAGCAAGTCATATGCCAAACCCAGAGTCCACAGGCTGGACATAAATATCTCGCTCACAAGGACTTGCAGATTTTTACAAAAGCAAATGCTCTCTTCTATTCCCTCCCCTTCCTTTTCCTCCCAGATGCCTACCCCTTCCTCTAGCAAAGACTGTCCTTCCACCCCTCAGACTGCCCTGTCACCCTACTTCTAGTTCCCTCCTTTACTGTGTCATTAGAATTTGGGGTGCTCTGAGGCTACCTTATTTGGAGCCTGGACAGCTTCCTTGGGTGAGAGCTGAATGCAGTGGGGTTTTTTCTTTCAAGGCTCAGCAAATTGCATCAGGTTCCTGGGATCAAAAGGATGTGAGAGCTGGGCAGTCCCTCCCCACGCCAGCTCGCTGGGGACCCCTGGCACGAAACTGACCAGCCTGTTCCCCTCTGCTCAGACCTCAGACCTGCTCACAGGCAAAGCCCGGGGCACTTACCTCTAAAACATCAATAGACCCACTCATGTTTTATTCTGCTTCCCATCGAGAACTTCCTCTGCTTCCCAGCACTGTGAGAAATTGGCCTGAGCCTGAGACAGAAACTTAGTAGAAGAGACAAGACACCTCGGATGGCCAATCAGGGAAGCCTTCCTGGAGGAGGGGGCTTGAACAGGGGCTTAGAGATTGAGTCAGGATGTAAGTTTACTTTTTAACACAACTTCAGAACCACAAAGATGATCGCACAAGAAAAGAAAGAAAAATGAACCCCTGCGATCCTCCAGCCCAAATGAAGCTGTGTTTGCGTTTATATAGGCTGAAAAGGAGAAGTGCTATCAAGGGGGTGGGGTGGGATGGGCAAGAGCTCTCTTGAGAAGGGATGAGTCTTGGGCTTCCCTGGTGGCGCAGTGGTTAAGAATCCGCCTGCGCATGCAGGGGACACGGGTTCCAGCCCTGATCCAGGAAGATCCCACATGCCATGGAGCAACTAAGCCCATGTGCCACAACTACTGAGCCTGCGCTCTAGAGCCCGCGAGCCACAACTACTGAGCCCACGTGCCACAACTACTGAAGCCTGCACCCCTAGAGCCCGTGCTCGGCAGCAAGAGAAGCCACCGCGATGGGAAGCCCGCACAGCACAACCAAGAGTAGCCCCCACTCGCCACAACTAGAGAAAACCTGTGCGCAGCAACAAAGACCCAAGGCAGCCAAAAGTAAAATAAATGTTTAAAAATAGATAAATTAATTTAAAAATAACTTTTTGAAAAAAGGGATGAGTAGAGGGTGCCGTCATCATGAGAACAGCATTGTGAGCAGTGAGAACCTCACAGCTCAGAGTGTGTTCCTTTTTGCTCTGACTGTTGTGTCCGACAAGGCTCAGGGCAGGAAAGAGAACTCACTCTGGATATTTTAAGCAGAAAAAGGATTTAGCGTAGGGCGTTGGGTGCTCTCTAAACTGTTGGGAGGGCTAGAGGTGCGGCTGCAGGCCAGACTCCCAAGGATCCTCCCAGAAGCGTGTGAAGCTGGACCAGCAGGGGAAGGTGGGGGATTGGGAGCTCCACTGGGGTCACCAAGGTCAAGAGCATGCAGCTGAGGCCGGAGTCCAGGCATCTGAAATCACCACTGCTACAGCCCACACTGCCTGGGAACATCCACAAAGACAGAGATTTGTCCAGCTGCTGCCTCCACCACATCTGCCCCTCCACCCCACAGAGCTGGAAGACGGATGCCGACCACAAGCCCATGAACTTGCTGGCCAGGAAAACAGAGTTACTGTATGACCCAGCAATCCCACTCCTGGGCGTGTATCCAGAGAAAACTGTTATTTGAGAAGATACATACACCCTCTATGTTCATAGCGGCACTATTCACAATAGCCAAGACACGGAAGCAACTTAAATGTCCATCGACAGATGAATGGATAAAGAAGATGTGGCACATATATACAACATGATGGAATATTACTCAGCCATAAAAAAGAATGAAAGAATGCCATTTGCAGCAACATGCATGGACCTGGAGATCATCATACTGAGTGAAGTAAGTCAGACGGAGAAAGACATATACCATGTGACATCACTTATGTGTGGAATCTAAAAGAAAATAGATACAAATAAACTTATTTACAAAACAGAAACAGAGCCACAGACATAGAAAACAAACCTATGGATATGTTAGGAGGCTGGGATTAACATATACACACTACTATGTATAACTGATTCACTGTGTTATAAAGCAGAAACTAACACACCATTGTAAAGCAATTATACCCCAATAAAGATGTTAAAAAAAAAATATATATATATATATATATATACACACTACTATACATAAAATAGATAAACAACAAGGTCCTACTGTATGGCACAGGGAACTATA